ACTTTAACACCTTTTAACATTTTTTTCGTACTTTTGAACATCTGAAGACGTCCTTACCTAAAAAATAACAACAACAAAAATATTATTTTATATATATATATTTTACAGAAAAATATTTATTGTTCATTTTTAGTTTTAATATATTTAAAAATGTTGTTCATTTCTGTGGAGTATAGCTGAATTTTATGCATCATGACTCCAGTCTTTCCAGTCCAGATTTTCAGTATAGATATCAATATTTAGATGTTTTTAATAACTAAGGTTAAATTAATATTTGACAAAATAAGCATTAAAAATAAATAAACATTCCCTTATTTCAGCCAGTTGCAAAGAAAACAATTATAATATTTACTTTGTCTATATAAGCTAAAATAAAATAAAAATGAATATAAAAAATGGCATAGTGTATGAGTGTGTGTGAATGTGAGTGTATGGGTGTTTCCAAGTACTGGATGGGCTGGAATAGTTAGCAGTTCATTCCACTGTAGCAACCCCTGATGAATATAGAGACTAAGCCGAAGGAAAAAGGATAAAGGAATGAATGAATAGTTGAAATTTTATAGTTTGTAATTTGTTATTGTAATAAATATTTAAATTAAAATGCATTTTCTTTCTATTACTAAAAATGTTTATAACTGTTTAACAAAACCTTTTTGCTTATTTTACGTCAAAATATACTCAAAATATCTATCTATCTATCTATCTATCTATCTATCTATCTATCTATCTATCTATCTATCTATCTATCTATCTATCTATCTATCTATCTATCTATCTATCTATCTATCTATCTATCTATCTATCTATCCGTCTGTCTGTCTGTCTGTCAGACCAAGTTCTCAACTTTTCACCAAAAGTAAAGTTGTTCAACATCATTGCCGTCATCACAATAAAGAAAATCATCATTCATTTAACCAACTTTGTCACTGTATCTGAGCCAGAAAAACACAAACACACTTTTTTTTTACACACACACAAAAAAAGACTGATTTGTAGATGTAAACATTTCCCCAATACTAAACCATGCGTAACAGGGACACATCAAAGCAGAAATCTCTGGACATTAGTGTTAATACAATCTACATAATGCTAAAGCTTTTTGGTTTGATACTCACAGAAGTCCTGCTGAATTCACTCGAGCGCAAAAACAAGTTCAAACTAAATCCACCGATGTGAGATGACAGTAGCTGTAGTTGGAGATGCCAAGATTTCCAGCTCCCTGAAGTGGCTTCAAGAGAGGCGGAGGAAAAATCTGGCAGGCCAAGTCTTGTGTTGGGAGACTTTTTACAGGTGGAAACTGAGAGAAATTACCCCGGACAACAATGCCCACTAGTTCCGCAGACTCACTATACTAACTGTACAGCAAAATACCTCGTATTAGACCACGTGACCCCGACTGGACAATACCTTCAAAATATTGGAAACAAAGGGCACGTCAGTCATTGCATTAGAAGAGCGTGGGCTGCAAGAGCCGCATGGCAACTAGATAGTGAACCGTCTTTATGCATGAAATCGAAGTGAAACAGAAGCTAATCTGATTAAACGACATGAAGCCCCCTGTGCTTTTAGCCTTCTTTAAATGATTTCAGCAGAAAGGGTATTCAAAACTTA